CTATGTGCCTTCACGATAGGTTCATGGAGGGCGAACTAGGGTTGTGACAAATCGTAGACGGTGGATCCCCCACTTAGCTTTAAGCTACAATCACATAAATGTAGAACCCACAATGATTCCTCCTTCTCAATTACTGTGATCTCTCACCGACAACCTGCCAAATTCCTCGTAATCTCTTGTTAATCTTTTCATGAACATTCTGAATTGTCAATCACAATTGCTCATTCGACCTCCTGTTGGGTAGTAAGTAGAACTCTTTTTAGAAACTTTATCAAAAATGCGCAACCGCTAACCTTCTCACATGAGATAACCCACCCATGGAATTCCATACTAACATCTTCCAACGATGTTGCCCTGGGAACAACTACCACGAAATCAGAAAACCTTCCTGGGCCCATGCTCGCCCACTAGCTGTAAGAGTCTGTTCACCCCCGATTAGTATCAGCTGAAAGTCCAACCATACGTTTCAAACTCGAAGTCATGTTCCATAAAGAAACAATAATCAAGCTTTCAAACCCCTCTTCCTTTCAAGCAGACATCTCTCTGCCATATTTAGTCTTCTTCAGTACAGTAGCCACCGTCCCAAATGAAATTTATAGACTTAGTCACTATCCACCATGATTTCCCATATCATTCTAAACTTTTCTCAAGGAATATGGCTATCCTACCACAGAATCCATACGCTACTCTGCCACTCCCATTTCAGTTAAACCATTTCCTTTAAGCAACTTCTCGACCTCTGATTTTTATACTTGACCTGCTAGCAATTCAACTACCGCGAAACACCTCCAACCATGCCCTTACTCCTCCCTTGATGCCAAGATACTGCCTCAAATCATAATCCATCTTGGTAGCACTCGAACGGGTAATCTACCACCAACTCTAAGACTCTATAAAGATCATCTCCCTTGAGCTATCAACCTTAGGAGCACCGATTAGACTCTTAAACCAACATACACCACCATCTCTGACAACTGCTTCTCAGGCATGATTTCACAACACCATGCCCCAAAGGCAAATCAAAGAAGACCATAACACCAAGGAACCTTAATGAGTTCCAACAAGGATGACGACACCACATCGCAGACGAGAATTCCACCACGTCCGAAAATATCTAGTCTCGATACTCCGTCAACCGAGGCCAGAACATCCATAGTCCAATTGCCTCTCATCCACTGGAATTAAATGTCGAACCTCCAAACCATGGACCGAATAATCCTCCTTTCTAGTCATTCATTGTCGCGACACACAAATAAACACCCTACTATTAATAGCAACACTGCGCGATAACCACTTATGAACATCATAATACACTATATGTAACAGTGAAACCGTAGGCAATACTAACATTTCGCCAAAATGTCAGAACATCCCTCTACGAGGTGACGACAATAGCCCAATAGAATACGCAGGGAGAAACATCCGGCACCATATATGTAGTACTATTACAACTCCTCGATGCCCAATTGGTAACCAGCTCTCCACGTCGTGTAAGATTGAATAGGAAGGAAATGAAGGCATACACTTAATGGAATCAAATCGCATGACGAGGAATCAAGAAGGTAAGTGCTCCTAAATGCCATGTAGCCTCTCGAAGATAAGTACAAATATTTCCGTACCGATCCAAAAGACTCTATTAGACTTGTTCATGACTCGTGAGACCTAAATGTGCCTAGAGCTCAAATACCAAGTTGTCACGACCCAAAACATACTATAGGTCGTGATGGCACCCAACGTCGTCGTTAGGCAAGCCAACGGAGAACTATCAACTTAATTATTTATTTCATTATTTTTAAAATCATAAGCCTTATTATGTAACAGATTCAATGCATTTAAAAATCATGAATACTTAAAATATTAGTAAGATATAAAATAAAAGATGACAATATTAAGCCAAACCATATCAATCACTAGATTATCCTTAAAACCTGGTGTCACTAGTGCATGGGCATTTACTAAGGAGTACAACAATAACACAACATCTGTCCGAAATATAAATAAGACAAGATAGAGTAAATAGTATATTGGAGACTTTGTGGGCTGCGATACGTAGACTGGAATACAGCTCACCAAAATTCTCCTAAGCAACTGCGCCTACGTGCCAAGATAACCACCAAATGAACCTGTCAGATCCTGCACATTTAGTGCAGAAGTGTAGCATGAGTACATAAATCAACGCGTACCCAGTAAATATCTAGAACAACCCTGAAGAAGTAATGACGATGGATCGACATCGACACTTACTAGAGGTCCAATAAAGCAGTATGATAAATCATAAACGGATATGAAGCACAACAGTAATAATGGGGTAAAACTGTACTTTATATAATCTTCAAATTTTCATTTAAAGATATAAATTTCTCAATCTCATGCTTTAACTCAACATCCCAAATATATCAAATGCAAGTATCAAACGGATAAAGAATACCATATAAAATGCCAGGCATCAGTAGAAGGAAAAATCTCGCAAATATTCGGACTGCTAGAGATATAACGCACGATTATGCTGAGGTCGTATGGCCCGACCCAGAGTCGTGTGTACACTACCGAGGGTCGATCGGCACAAACCAGAGATGCATCTCAATATACTGCCTAGGCGTTCGGCCCGCTCCACAAGAAAGAGGAACTTATCGAATTACGAATCACGTGCTTACAATACAAGTACACGAGCATAAAGTGGATACACACTTTACCGTTTATCAAATATTGTGCCAACAACTAATATATATTCCTAAATCAATTTAAATTATCAATTCATTCAATTAAGCTAGCAAAAATGAGTTCAAATAATTCAAATATTTCATGATAAAGTCCTAAGTCTACCCGGACATAAACATGATGTAGCTATGTACGGAGTTTCATCACCTCATGCGTACGTATCACCCACAACTAGTAGCACATAACAATTACATCACCTAGGGGGTAGTTTCCCCCTCACAAGTTTAGACAATAGACTTATCTCACTTCATAATCCGATAACCGGCTCCAAGGCCTCTCTAAAACCTCAAAATGATGCCCATCGATCAGAAACTAGTCAAACAACGTGCAAAGCAATCAAAATACAGCCAAAACTTTTGATTAATCACGTCATAACAATTCTCAACTCCGCTCGAAAAGTTAACAAGGTCAACCCTCGTGCCCACACGCCCAAATTCTAAAAGTTTTCGAAGATAAATACTACCCATATCACCACAAACTCAATTATATAATTTATTCCCAATTTCATGATCAAAATCCAAAATACCATTTCTAGGTTTAGTTTCAAAAATTCCACAATTTCTATCAAATTCCATGTTAAAATCAATATATAACCCATGTATTTAACTCAAAACAAGTAGGAATAACTTACCTTATGATATATGGTTAAAATGATCTTTAAGAATCACCCCAAATCGCTCCACATGTGCTCCAAGAACTTAAAAGTGAATAAATGAGCTCAAAATCCCGAAATTGGATGCTTAATACACTGCCAGGCCTCCTTCTTCGCGATCGCGGTTATAAGCCACACAATCGCAGTTATCAAAAGTTCCAGTAATGTGTCCTTCATGGAGATCGCGACCAAAATCCGGTTATCGCAATGTACAATTTATGTTTTCTTCTTCAGAGACACCCTTTAGTATAATGGCCATAACTTTTTGTACAAAATTCAAAAATGATAAATTGTGTGATCTTTTGAAAACTAAATTCAAAGAGCTTTAACCTTCATTTTTAGATCATCTCCAAATTCCTTATAGATTGCAAGATATAAGCTTCCGAATTCCGACCACTGACAACAGAAATTCCTCTACGCGATCGCGACCTTCCTTCCGCGATCGCGATTCACAAGGGCTGGAACAACACTTTGCCCTATGTGATCGCAGCCCAAACCTCCGCCATCGCATTTCACACCCTCGACACCAGTTATCAGTAGTTCCAAAAGTCCTAAAAGTGGTCCGGAACCACCCAAAAACTCACCCAAACATCCGAGGAACCCCGTTCGATCATTCTAAGATTATATACCCTATGTAAACTTGTCCGAAGGCCCGGAACACAAATTACAACATTGAAAACAAGAATTAAAGATCAAACTTAATTTCTTAAACTCTCTTAACTTTCAACCTTCATCCTTCGCCTAACGCATCCTATCACACGTAAACATTCCAGAATGACGCCAAATTTTACGTGCAAGTCATAAATCAGGATGCGAACCTATTCCAAGGATCAGAATCCCAAATAGACATCGATAACACCAAAGTCCACTTCAAACTAAACTTAGAAAATTTTAAAACCTTCAAAACGCCAACTTTCCATATTAAGCGCCGAAATGCCCCCAGGTCACCTGATACTCAATCCGAACATACGCCCAAGTCTGAAATCATCATACCAACCTATTGGAACCTTCAAATTCCGATTCCGGGATCGTTTACTCAAAAGTCAAACCCTGGTCAACTCTTCCAACTTAAAGCTTCTAAATTTAGAATTTTCTTTCCGAATCAACTCCGAAATTTTCGAAATTCAATTCCGACCACATGTATAAGTCATAATACCTGAAGTGAAGCTACTCAAGGCCTCAAACCGACGAACGGTGCGCTAGAGCTCAAAACGACCAGTCGGGTCGTTACACCAGCTTATTTTGAGAAGTGTTTTTTCTCAAATGTTCTTTTCGCAATGGTACTTTTGGTGAGAAACAGTATGTGTTTGGCTAATTAATTTGAAAAGTACTCCTGAGTAGGAATTAGTGTTTGGCCAAGCTTTTAAAAATTGCTTTTAAGTGTATTTTTCTCAAAAGTGCTTTTCAGAAAAAGTGCTTTGGAGAGAAGCTACTTTTTACTGCTTCTCCAAAACTCCTTCTGCTTCTCCTCAAAAGCACTTTTTTTATTCCAAAATGTTGGCCAAACACTTCAACTTTGAAAAAATGTACTTTTTTCCATAAAAAAGTACTTCTAGGATTGGAGAAGCTTGGCCAAACAGGCTATGAATATATTAAAGAATACTACATAAAAACCTCTATAAAAAAAATAAATCAATCTAAATTTAACCTCTTGGGATTACATTTTTATGAATCACACAATAAACAAACAAATAGGATCCACTCAATTAACATTGCACACAAAGAATAAAACTCTCAAGCTTATGAAGTCTGTAAGTAAACTTGCTGCTTAAAATTTTGATTGCATCAGAGCAGCTACGCTTTCATCTACTTGAAAAGCCTTGGCAAGAACATCAGTTGCTATAGCCGGATCCGATCCGAATACTGCGTTAGCCATGCCTATAACACCAGGATTCTGACTACTCAAAGCAGCAATAGCTACAGCATTTCCATATCCCACGTTGTGTTGGTAGTGAACAAGTCCAATAGGAAAAACAAACGCGTCGCCTTTTTTAAGGACCTTAGTAATATGGCGATTTTCAGGACTCGAGGTTACAAAACCAACTTGAAGAGAACCTTCAAGGACAGTGAGTATCTCAGTAGCTCTAGGGTGAGTGTGAGGAGGGTTGATTCCCCATGGTGCATAGTCGACGCGAACCAATGAAATACCAAGAGTGTTCAGTCCTGGTATTTGAGCCACATTAACAGGAGTCACTTTAGAACCAACAGCATTTGTTGTATTGCCAGCCAAATGTAGCCCACCGAAGAAAAAGTCATCTGCTTTAACTGATTTGAGATCTTTGCAAGCTAAGCCATTTACCCTAGCTGAAACAACGGAAAAATACAATTAGAAAAGTTCATCAAAACATTCCTTTTAAAAGATCAGAGAAAAATGCAATACATGCTTGTCTTGTTTCACTGCTTTGAAATACCTGGACTAGCAGGATCCGCGACACAGAAATCTTGCAATGGACTTGGCTCAAAAGCTAACACAACACAGCAGAAAGTTATTGCTGCTATCAGATTCGACAGGAGAAACTGCTTAGCCATTTATAACACTAAAGAACAGAAGCTAGGAGGAGCAAAAGAGAAGAAGGATGTTTTGTGAGATGATAGGATTGATAAGATAGTTACTATATATATAAGAGAAGTAAGACTTCATGCACGCATATGTGCTTGAAATTTGGTGAGTAATTTGTGATTTTCTTGAAAAGATTGTAAAGGGCCGTCCAAGCAGTATACATGTAGACTTTGACAAAGATTAGCTGTCATTTGCAGAAACAAGACAAGAATAAGAGGTTAGCCGGCTTGAACAACAGCACTTCAAACATTTTCAAATACTTGATGGAAATGGTCCAAGACTATTTTTTAAGGACAACAGTGTGATCTTGAATACCATTTGGTAGATTATTTACGTACGCCAAATTAAATTTATACGTGTGATACATTTTCTTTTATTTCTTTAAGTGCTAAGTCAGACCCTTCCCCTATCCATAACATCACAAATAAAAGATACAGGGACTGTTTGTTTTAAAACTAATGTCAATTTGGACCATCATACAAAAATAAAGCTCAACTATGATTTGACAATGAAGACAAAAAAATTTAACCCCTGCCTTTGCAGGGAGAAGCGGATGAATATCTTGAAAAAGATGTCAACCTTAAACTTAAGGTAAGATGTCAGTCAAACCTTAACTAACTAAATGTGTAACAAGAGATTTCCATCAAGGTTGGTTACAAAAATAACCGAGGATGATTAATTCTAGCCGAGGATGCTTACAAAAATAAAATTTTCAGCACTAACTTACTATTACACTTCTCAAAATCAAATAAGTTACAATTTGGAACAGTTGACTCAACTTAACAACTAAAAAACTTCAACAGCTTCGTCTTCAAGAATAAGTTCTTCTGTTGAGCAGCTTGAGTCTTCGAGAATATCTTCTTGCCTTGATTGCTATTACTAGGAGTAATTGCATGTTGTTTCTCTCAATAACGTTCGCCATGAACTGCCACAAAAAGTCTCCCTTTATAGTTGTAAAGTTGGCCGAAAATCTTCTTCAATTAAAGCTCTAAAACCTAGAATATTTCGGTTAAGAAAATCTCTCCTACATTGATTTTGTTTCCTTATTTGTTTTTAACTTTTCAACATTTTCTTTTATTCCTCACAATTAATGCATTCCTTGTATAATATGGACACAATTGCTTGAGAAATTTAGCTTGCACACGTATTCCACTATCCTGCGTCTGATCAACACCATACTTTTGATCTGTTATGAACCAGGTTTATCTATCGGTTGCATTTTACTTCTGCACACCAGTCTCGTAGCATATTACCCTTGAATATGAAACTTGTTCCTTCCCCATAATTTGGTCCTGGTTTGTTACTCATCAAAACATACTACATGCTGAGATCAACAACTTGCCCAATGTTTCATCAATCTACAACATAAGAATCAGTTTATTGGCTGCACTCCTCTTTAATTTGTCCATGTTTGCACAAGTATAAGACACTCGTCTTCCATTCATCGAAACTCTAAAGATGGCTAGGCATGATTCATTGTTTAGAACAGCAAATAGACAAACTCAACAAACAACCAGGTTTACTAATTAGCAGTCAATAAGCATAAGCACATACTTAACTTCCCCATTTTGGCATCATCGAAAAACTAAAGTGTTATTAGAATCAAAGAGATAATTTCGATAATGTTAAACTCATGGCCACTTGGTCTATACTACATAAATCACTAGGTCAATAACTCAAACATTTAATCCAATAAATTATCCAGATGTGATTGCACAAGTAGTAACCAAAACAAGAAAATTTTATTGATTAAGCAATGTAACTCATTAAGCCCAAGGGGCCCCAAACCAAAGGACAATTTAACAAATCCATCGAACTACCAACAACACATAAAATAAACAAAAACATCCAGAAGTCGATCATAAAAGGGGTATCACCAAGGCTAGACTAAGAAACATAAGAGGACTAAGGACCAAGTTCTTTGCTGGAAGAGGAAGCTCCATGAACAAGCCCTAGAAGCTTGTCAAACCTAGCAGCATAATTCTCCTACTCTTTCTTCATCCCCTCCTTCAACCTTATATTTTCCTCCTTCAAGGAGACTATTTCCTCTTTCATCTTCTCACTATCCTCATTAGCAATAATCAACACCTCCAAAAGGTTTATGACCATGCTTTTGCTTTTTGTACCTGGTGGTCGTGCAACACATTCACATTTCTTTATGGTTTCCTCATCGAATATGTCTTTCTTAGTCCCTTTCTTAGGACCTCTCGGAGGAACCTTGAAGCTCAAATACCCTAGTCAACACGAACCCATATGATAGAGTATGAGTGCGTTTTTCTTGATCAGTTGTCCTTGCCATGCGCTTGATCATCAGTGAGGGCAGATTGATTGGTCTATTATGGTCCGGCACCTCCATCACTGACAGGTCCAAGTAAGTAGCCTCATACCTCTTTTCAGATCAAGGCAGCAAATATGTATTCACAAATTCGAACAACAGCTTGTGAATCGGTTTCATCTCACCCTTACCTACTTTTCTTGCATTAAACTTCTTTTTATGTGTGTACTTGAAAGTCAAATACATAGAATCTTCATTTTCTCCCAATTAAGGGCACTCACACCTCACATAAGTGTCAAAACCATTCGTGGGACACTCAATATTTCACCCAACGACTTGGCATCACGAATTCAGTCCATTTTCCTTACTTCAGAACTTACTGCGCCATCTTCCAATACTTTGAAGTTCTTGTATAAATGAAATATTGCTTCACCATACATTACTGGGAGTGGGCACAAGAACAAGTGTGTCAACCTTTAATTCTCAATTTTCTCCAATAACTCCTCTATCCCAAACATGCCCACAACGGCAGTGTCAATTACTCGACCTTTTAATATGATTATCCCATCAAAACATTCCACTCTATCTATAACGAAATATTTTTCTTGAGTCTTCTTTGTGCGTTTGGAACTGGCGCCTTTTGCTTCATACTCAGAAATTGCAGATTTTTTTTCTGGAGGACTTTTCCTTGAGAGTGGCTGAAGATGATTCAACCTTTTTCTTTCCTTTTATTTGAAGAGGAACTTCCTCCTCCACCTCTTCTTCTTCTTCTTCCTTTTCCTCACTCACCAGATCAACCTCTTTGGCACAACTCCTTTTTCCCGAGGAGGTAAGGAGTTTAATTCAGAGTCACCACTTGGAATAATTTGATGGTGTCCCAAGTCACTGATTTATTTTAAATCCGAAATCGAGGAAATTTGACTCTATTTTGAAGTCTGCGAAACCAGAAGATCGGGTGAGAAATTCTGTTAACCCGGGAGAATGTGTTAAGTATTCCCGAGTTTTATGGTTTTAACACGGTCACTTTTAATCATACCTGACTTAATTAAGTTGTTTAATTACTTATATTAGAACCTATGTATATTTACTCTTTTACCACTTTTAATTATGGAGTTATGGAATTATCTTTGAAACACATCACATGTGTGAAAACCCATTTTATTTGGGGCACTAAAATTATGTCACGCGAACGTGTACACAATTAATCATGATTTATTAATTTAAGATTGTTTTTGGCCAAAGTCGCGTGAACGCGTACCTTGATATATTTGAAAATCATAATTATGTCACGCGAACGTGTACATAATCACGATAATTTGATTCAACTAGGAGCGTGCTTAAAGCAATCTAATGCATTCATGATTTTATTTGTTCAATTCCTAAGCTTAGGATTATTGTAAGGCTTGAATTATGGACATGAGATTTAGTTAAAGCTATTGGACCAACAAACTATTTGTGATTTTACTATTCAGTTCTAATGAACTGCAAATATGAGGAATGGAGAAATCCAAAAGAAAAGTGATTAAGAACCAAGGAATTTGGACGCATTACTAAGACTTTATTATTCCATCCTTGTTTAAGGAAACATGATGTGAAATACTCAAACTTCTGCTCACGTTCATTAATATGCAACTTGAGATTTAAATTGCAAAGAACTAACCACAAATATACTTTCAAAATTTTTCTGCAGTAAACAAACCAAAACGTAGCAGCTTTTGGCCATGATACTACCACAAAATTTTCATTAAAATACCTCTAAAATAGCCATGAAATTCCTACAAATCCATATCAAAACCATCCCTTTAAACATCCCCTCTTGAATCATAAATCACCTCTAAAACTCTAGCAAAAATCATCCATTAAAAGTAGCCAAACAACCTCCAGAATGCCACCATTTCAACTCAAAACTTCAGTAACCAATTCTACTACAAGAGCATAATAGTGATAAAAGAAAATTTATACTTGCACCCTAGATTTGTGCATTATCTCAACCCATAAGAGTAATTCAAAGCCAAGTCAAATCTACAATCAATCCTCAAAGAATATTTTTAAACACATGAATAAATGACTATTGCAAGTTGTTGAATAAACACATGCACAAGTATTTTTTTTATAATTTTTCATAATTTTTAAAAATTTAAAATAATTTATTTCTATATTTTATTATATAAGTATTCAATAATTACCCTCCAAATTATTTTTATGATGATTCAATCACCTAAATATATCATTTATATCAACATGAGGTTTTAAATATTTTCAGTGCATTTTTTATAATTACATTTGCATTTTTAAGGCTAAATTGCACATCTTTGCAATAATAGCTCATACTAATGTACAATTACTTTATTTATGCAGAAAATAATTTTTTTATATTTTTAAAATGTTAAGTAATTATTTTAGTGCATAAATTCTATTTCTTTTATTTATTTATCACTTTTATAAATTATTTATTTGATTAATATTGGGTATTTAAAAACTAGCCTAAAAATCACCCATTTTTCAGACCAATTGCTGGCACAAACCTAACACCCTAGCCCAATAAATCTCAAGCCCAAACCTTTACAAAACCCCGTCGGTACCCATTTTATACGACCCGTCCCGTTTATCCTTAATCCTAGCCGTTGATCTCTTAAGATCAACGACCCCCCGTTCACCCCCTCTCTTTAATTATCCAAACCCGCCCAAACCCTA